ATAGGACAATACTTTGTTAAAATAATCTCGCGAAGTTCATCTCCACTGCATTAAAGCGAACACAGTCACTGAGAATTTTGGTGAAATAGATTACACGATGTGATGGTAGACTCGCGGCCGATGCTTTTCAAAATATTCGGTCTCGCAAAGGTAAGATCACAAGCTGAATGCAGTCGAACAAAAGAATGACCGACAAATACGTCCGCGACAAATCTAAACCCCGACAAAAGTGATGTGGCATGTGCATGTTACTCAATGATGAGGCGCGCGCAAATTGTCGGAGTAGCACCTTGCCGCGGACCAAATTGTCGTAGACCAGAACAAAATGCTTGCTGGTGGCACCTTTCCAGAAAGGGACAAAACCATCTGATACACACAATGATACTAATAATGATCTCAAGAGTAATTATATCCATATAACGGAATTAATCATGATAGTTATAGTGATAATGGTGTTCATGGTAATGTAATTAATCGTTATAGTAATGATAATAACAACTAACCTATCGATTTCTTTATCCTCAAAGAGTGTAAAGAAATGGTGAAAATATAGCTCTGCTTAGTTGTTGGTTATGTGTTGTATTATGCTTGATGCCTATTGTAACAGGTAGATAGACAGATGCCTCTCGGTGTAGTGATTATCAGTTAAAGTTATTTCTTTTCGGTCGTAAAATTTATAATCGTCTTTCATTTTTGAGTGAATGATCCAAAATTGATCGCCAATCGTACGGCATTATTCATTGCTGTGATATTGTTGTTAATGTTGTTTTCTGATGGTTGCATTGGTCAGTTTCAGCGTACTGTATAATTTATGTATTGAGTGTGTTTTCCTTTTTGCCGAACGAAGTTGACGAAATTGGAACGGTGAAAGAAAAGGAAACGTGTCGATAATTGTCGTTCAGTAAAATCATATCATCTGAACTCAAACCAATATTATTTCTAAAATCCAATATAAATCCGACCCAAAATACACATTTGATCAATCATAAAGTTAGTTATTCATTTATATTTATCAAATTTCACTATATATATATAATGATATTTTACCTATCCCCGTCACATCGTCAAAATACGAAAAGATATGAACTGTTGTAGATATGATTATTAATGCCGACCTATTGGATAGCCAAACAACTCGATGATTGGCATCAGTTTGACGAAGAATTTGAATAAATGAATCAGGAATTAAATGAGTCACAAAAATATCTGCTCAGTAGTACCAGTATTCAATTTGCTCAAAGAATAATTTCTAACTAAAGCAGGCAGGAATCAACTGTCTACCTTATGCAAAGTATACGCAAATTAGTACGTAAGCCACGCGTAGACGATTGGTCACCGTTGGCAAAGTTCTATTATGCGGACGAAGCGCTGAATGCGGTAGCAAACGAGCTGGATTCTTTCGATGGGCGTCGCGATCCAGAACGTTGCAATCAGTTGGTTACGAAATTAAGACAAGCCCAGGATCGTCTTTTGCATATCATCTGTTAGTTGTCCTTCAATGTGTGCTTCAGCAATAAGTCTTATGTGAACGTAACAACCTTCAGCTGAAATGATGATAATCGTATTCCCACGAGAAGCGGACCGTGCATGTCGTGACTATCGTGTAAAATTTCCCGATGAAATTGTACATGATAACTTGCCTGGTCAACTGTGGTTTGGAGCTGAGGTGAGAGGAGATGCTTGAATCTTGTTTGTATGATTACTTTCAGCTATTCTTCGCTATTTGCAGTGTCTGACGGCTGGCTCGAATATAATCGACCATGAAGCAGAATCTGAAGCGATCAGGCCGATGGCGAGAGCATTGACGAGACATTTAGATAGTCTTCGTGACTTACTGAAAGACCAGTCGTTGCGTGATCCGACGCAGTATTCAGATAAGATCAAAAGCAGCCTTAAATTATTCGATCATCTGTTCGCCGAATTCGAACTAAAGTTAGTGCTGAGGCTCATAACTCATGCTTATACCGATGACTTTATTTGTTCGTTCACCTATTCGTTTCTTATTCTGCTTTTTCCTGATCGATCTCCCTTATTCTTATTCTAGTCATGTCATGAGAATGAGTGATATTGATGATTATTAGCAACTTTATTATCCACTTTGCAGTTATGTAAGTGCTATGGTACCAGTGAAAAGTGTTAAAGAGTATGACTGCCAACTGGATGTGGCGGTACTTTTTTCAGAAACACTCGAAAGGTGAGTGCAAGAACTGCGTTGTAATAAGCGGTGTATTTTTTCACTCATATCATATCGTCTGTGACTATCCACTAGCTTCGTTCATGCACTTCAGTTCATTTTTGTGCGAAACACTAAAGTAGAAGCAATCTGCAGGTAGTATGTATTTGCATTTCATTTAATGTCGATTTGTAGAGCTCTGAGATTAGGTTATATCACGCAAGAAGCGATTGATGACTGTGATCCGAATGTGATGATAACAGTGCCTCGTCTCGCGATTGTTTGGTCAGTTTGAATCTATTTGTTTTTGCTTGTACCAATAACACTAGTGACTTTCGTCGTCTGGGAACGTATCTGTGAGCGAATAAGTGCTATCACTGTTGGTATCTTTTTTACTACTATACGTTTCGTAGCAGAGTCGAAATGTAACAGAAAATCGTCATCATCAGTCGAATTTAACAGCTGTCTTCTTACTGCTAATGCTGTTGATAACAGTCATTTAATTTGTTGTTGACATAGTGAATAGTGTAAAAATAGATCCTATTTTGAGTTGTTCAGTTTGATTGATTGAAAGAAGCGAATTAAAAGGTTCGAGTAAATCGAATTTCGAACAGTTGCATTTCAGCGGTCTTCTGTATTTTCCGGATGGTGCACTGAATGTTGATGGACCTGCAGAGAATCTTTCGGATATNTGTTTCGTCCATTTCATAATCTATTAACAAAGATCCGTAACTTGCTGAGAGTGGTCACTCGTGAAGAGCTAAGAGCCGTGGAATTGGCGTTATGCAGTGGAGATTCGGCAGTTTCATCGACAGTTGCTCTGCAGCAATGTGATGCAGCTGGTGTAGAGGAACGGCCTTGGGCAGATACATTCACAATATGTGATTTCAAGCAGACGACTGCTACTGTCTGTTCACGTTCACACATACATCCTAAGAAATCATCGTCAACTAATGCCGCACAAAATTCCATGCCGAATATCAATTCTGTGCAGAGTTCTACTCCAAACGTTGATATCGACATCAATAGTACAAACACTAATTCTCATGCTAGCAATAGCCCAGAATGTGATGTTAATAGCAGTGATACTAAACCATCATCATCGTCGCGACCTCATTCTCAGTCTCAACTGCAGTCATCATCTAAAACTGAAGTCGAGGTCCGTTCGCAGACATCTTATTCAAATGCTTGTCTTTGTTCTACTGTCGATGCTCAATCATTTTCGTCTTGCGTTTGTCCCAGGAACAGTAATAGTGATAATACTGCTACTTCTACGACAATTGCTTCGTCACCTTTAAATGCAGGGTATGTTGTTGAATTTTGATTGTTTGTCTCTATTTTGGTTGTAATGGTGATAATATCCTAGGGTAACGGATTGCTTGAGTGTGCAGTTGACGAGAAGAGAAGCAACAGCATCATCTTCACTTCATCATTACAACGGTGCGTTATCAATTTTGGTCGTGGTCCGGATGATACTTGATTATTGCAGAAATGATATTCTGTTGCAGAGGAATCTGATGAAAACGATTCGTCAGCGAATAATTCTCCTTCGCCATCTCGAATTGCCGAAGATAGTTGTGCTGTAGCTCGTCGTATATTATCACCAACTGAGAGTGCTTCTTCGCTTTGTGACTTGCAACCGTCAAATAATGATAACTATAACGCTGAAAAGCATTTAATAGTGAGCATTAGGTAAGTTTTCTTTCTGTATAGCAGCTTAATCATTTACCAATTCAGTTTAATTAATCCTTGTCATTAATACGTTTTTTCAGCGCTGCTGGTGTTGATAAGAATGTTGCTGATCAGAGTCATGTAAGTGGTAATAACAACTGTGGAGCAACGAATGCACACGCTCTGCGCGCGCGTTTTCGGTCGTCAGCGGATATCGTACATCGTTTGTTCGTTTGTATTGCTGGCGTAGCCGATCAGCTGCAGACCAACTATCCAGCTGATGTGAGGAAAGTACTCAAAATGGTACTGCAGCCAAATGACGTTGTACCTGTTTATGAGGTGATGGTATCTTCTTGTGTTGCGCATTTCACTGATGATCTTTAATAATAAGGCAGCAATTTAAAGGTACCGGGCGAGACGGCATCGCAACCCGTCAATGAAGAAGAGACAGGTGTTGAAGTACAGGAAGCCCTTCCGTTGCCATCATTTGTGGGTAAGTAAACAGCCAGCCAGTCAGTCACCTATCAGTTAAATGTCTCATTGTATTTTTGAATAGCCATTGCTGAGCTTATGAGATGATTTGGAAGGTGTTCGATGGGTGCCGGATAGTGATTGTGAGCAATGCACGGCTTGTGCGACCGCGTTCACACTCGTCAGGCGTAGACATCATTGTCGTAACTGTGGGCGTATCTTCTGTTCAAGGTGCTCGGCAAATTCGCTGCCTTTACCCGAACTAGGTTATGATCGAAAGGTGAGGAGTTGGCTATTCTTTTTGGGTTGGGTGCTTTAGGGTCAAGCCGCATGTTCAATTGCTGTTGCGTCTCCTTTCAGGTGCGTGTATGTAATTTATGTTTTCTGTATAAAATCAACCCGTTCTCGCCGTGCCAACCAATACCAATGGGTAACAGCAGTGCAGCAACCGTTCAACACCAACCACCCCAGATACACTCCAGTCGCAATCAAAATCAACAGCATGCTCATCTCGACAGCACTTTTCATATGCCCGGCGATGCTACATATAATACCGTGACTTCTTCGAGCGCGACCACGCATTCTACGAGTCAGGCTTCCTGAAAAGCTAACAGTGATCGATGTACAGCAGCTGATTATTTCTTACTCTTTAACATATCTGCTCTAATTGCTAAATACTGTCCCGGTTAATTTAGCAGCTTTCATCCTGAAACGTTTGTTCAATGGCGACATTTTCTGCAGTTTTCAAGTTTCATGTATGCTCCATTTGATGGGCACCCTCATCGCCTTGTGCGGCATTTATTATTTGTTTCACAAAGAATTGGATTCAAACTTGATTATGAGTGAATTTCATTTGTATGTGTATCTGTTTTTTCGTTCAGTCAATGCATTATTATTGAGCAACAGCCGCCTTCTGTTTCTCTTTGAGCATTCCCAACTCGAAGCGCCTTTTCTTTTATTTCATTGTTAAATTCTCTTGTAAGCTTTTCGAGAACTGTTCAGCGATTGGTGATAGTGATAATATTCATTAGTGTTCTGTTTTTATAACTAATTGGTTTATTGTTATTGTTATAACGTCAATTTAAACTTATGTGATTTTATTTATTTATTTTTTGTATTTACACATTCATTTACCTATCCAATGATAAATGATATTTTGAGTTCGTTTGTGAACTTTTTAAAAGAAAATTCCTCATATGGCTGAATACACAGTTGATGTTGTACGAAACTGCAAATCAACCTAGTGTTGAAGTGTCTGAAATGGAACGAACGCTGATGGAGTGTTTCATTGCTTTGTTATCATATCATGATGCATCATATAGTATAAGCATTCTCGAATGCCTTTTGTAATATTAGCAATGCTGTCTATTGTATGCGTTTTGATCAATTTGATTCATTTGATGGAATTGAAAGCATCCGTCATCCATAATAATTTCGTTGAGCCCCACTTGATCGATATGAGAGATTGTGGAATGACTGTGGAATTTTGTTTTGTTCGTTTCGTGATAGAGTATGATTTTACTCTCATTTTAAATATTTGATTCGTCGAGAATGAATTCATTTCTTAATTGTATTTGGTCAATATTATTGATTAATATCACTCATATAATATCTCGAATGAATTTGTTGTGAACTGTGAAATACATTTTTAGAAGAAAGTGTACATACTCAAATGAATATTTGCAGTATGATTTGATCTTGTTTTCTTTTATTGTGTGAATTGTTTCTGAAAAGGCTATCTTTTAAGATGTATGTTTGCATCAGTTGACGATTCATTGGTCGGTTGATTGAGTGCTGATGATGAGTATGCTCAGCTTGGCTTACTGGAGGCCAGTAACTGCTTTGAGTGTCATCATTCGTCCCAGGCAGATAAGTGGACTTAGTCGAGAGGACACCACTCGGCATAAACTCTGTGTGGATCAGTGAGCAATGTTATTTTGATATTCCTCGACACGTGCTCTTATCCAAGTGTTTATCTACAGGCCGACTCGTTTCCAATTCACGTCTGCAATGGTTGGTTGGATCACCGGTTTAAGTGACTTGGTATGTGCAGGCGAACAATTAAATTGTTGTTATTCTGGGTGTCATTTTTTTATTGAAACATGTTATTTGTTATTGTTATTCATGTATTATTATGAGTGTATGTTGATATCTATATATGTGTGTCTGTTTCTTTTGATTGGTTGATGCATAAAAATTATAAAAATGTCTCCATTCCAATTTTATTCGTCCAGATTGTGGAGGTTGTGATGGAAGCTTCGAAGTGCATGCCTGAATAAGTAACAAACATAAAGAGATCAATAAAGATGAAATGATAAGGTTGGTTCTGATTTGTGTAGCATACGTCAGGAACGTAGTTGAAGAACATGGTGAAGCTTTTCTTTGCAGCGTCTAATTCCTGTAACAGATTATCAAAGTGAAATTCTGAGATTCGATTTACGTGAAATACTCTTTTTATGGACACATACATACATACGCTCTTCATTCTCCGTCTTCAGAAACAGTGACAGTTTTCAGCAAGGGATTGACTACTAACACTTTAAGAAGCTGATCACTAGTTTGCGACCGATCTAATTCGGTTGCAATCTGTAGACCGATAGGGATGTGGGAAACAGCGGCTGTAGACAGATAGAGGATCATCGTCTTTGCTGATGGTATTTCAGCCGATAGAGAAACCAATATGGCTATCAATGTAACGGACGTTTCGTTAACCAGGTATGTGAACTGAACAGAGAATATTATATGTGAATATCGAATTGCCTTTTAGGTACTACATTCCAGAAGATACATCACTGGAATATATCTGCAGTCAGTCTGATTCATCCGGCTTGCATACCTGTAATAAACTACCTCCATATAAACATAACGGTATTAAGTGAGTTAGTTACTTGATTCGCGATCAGTTAATCTCTTGCGGTGATTTATTTCATTATTTAGTGATCAGCTTCAGTTTATTCTGTCGCTTACTTGAGTGTGCCAGCAAAAAATGGCTAATCTAAACAGCGATCGACGATTGCTAAAAGAAAGTGGATAGATAGACGACGACGACGACGACGACGACGCATGTGTATGGAATGTGAATGTTTCAGATGTAATTTAACATTGTTCGAATGGGAAAAAGTCAATGATGAATCGTGTATTAATTGGAATATTTATTATAATGAGTGTACTGTGATGCATCGTAACCCATTTCAAGGCTCAGTCTCATTCGACAACATCGGTTTTGCTTGGGTGGCCATCTTTCTGGTTAGTCTGCTGGGATTGTTTGAGCATTGAATGGAATGGTTGAATAAAGAGCTTTTTTGTTTTGAGGTGATCAGTTTAGAGGGATGGACGGATATCATGTATTACGTTCAAGATGCGCACTCGTTCTGGAACTGGATCTACTTTGTGCTGTTGATTGTGGTTCGTTTGGTTTGGTTTCGTTCGTTGCTAGTGTCTAATGGTGGTGTTTTAATTGAAGTGATCGTTGGTTGTTCAGGTGGGTGCGTTCTTCATGATCAACCTGTGTTTAGTGGTCATCGCGACACAGTTCGCTGAGACAAAACGAAGGGAAACTGAACGCATGATACAGGAACGTAAACGGATGCGTTCTGCCGGTTCATTATGTGAGGGAGATTTGATATTTATTACTTTGTTAGTATTATTATTATTGTGATTATTGTATGTGTCTTTTAGCTGGTAGCGAACAGGGTGCGACATCGTCAAAAGATGGTGGTGCTGGCGATAGTGTTTATGCAGCAATGGTTCGATTTATTGGTCATCACTCGAGGCGACTTAAACGACGTCTCATTAAGGTTATATTTAAACGTTCATGGTGGTGTTCATCACGTCGATGACAAGAGCGCAAATAAAAATTACTTGAACGAATCGGGCGATCACAGCAGAGTTGGCTCGATCACAGTCATCGAAGAGCATCGCCCAAAAGAGAGAATCACCGAAAAATCGCTCGCTTCGCACTACTAGCAATATGATGATACGTTTTTTGAAATAAGTTACTAATTGAGTTTTGTTGTGTGTCACTCATTAAATTTGATCTAAGTTCGCATTTCAGCAAATTCGCATTCTAAGAGAACGATTCTTCACAAAACAGCAACAGTTGAACGGCAATGAGAACAATAACAATAATAATAATGATAAACTGATAGTGAATAAAAATTTGGAATTGAACGCTGCCGAGGAGAATGATGCAAATTATACGAAAGATATCGAGATGGCGATTGAACGAGATGAAAGAGAGTGTCATATAGAACTCTTAACAGGTAGGTATCTGTTGTGTCTTATTGATATTGAGGTTGGTACAGCGCTAGGTTTTGTAGTGCTGGATTAGTATTGCATGCAGTAGTAATGATCGATATTATTATTATTATTGGTGTGGTTAGTGTATTATTGTATCGTTATATTAGTATATTGTGCGTTGGGTAAGGAGCGATTTTGTTTTGAAATGGCAATGGAATCGTTGCGCGATTAGAATGTGTACTGAGTGGGCGGTGTTGATCTGGCGGCAACTGCAATGGGCAGTGTTGATCTGGCGGCAATTACAAGTGGTCGATTGATTGACTGATCAGCAGATTGATCAACTGATAAGTGACACTTCATTCATTGGTTAATAAGTGCGCAGATCGGTGGTGTATTTCATTGTTGACGTGTTCTCGTGTTTGGTGTGGTTGGTCGTGTCCTTGATTGGTGAATTGCTGTTGGGTTCGGGATAGTGGTGTATTTGCTTAGTGATTTGTTATTGGGTTCGGTATGGTCGTGTATTTGATAGTCGAGTTGATATCGGTTCAGCATGGTGGTGTATTTCATTGCTGACTTGCTGATGGGTTTGGGATGGTCGTGTTTAGTCTGTGTTCACCTATTATTTGAGCAACAGTATAAGTTTTACGCAAAACTCTCTCTCCCCATGCATCCCATTGGCGGAGGAAAAATGATCAGTTAAAGTTTTAGAGGAGAAAGTGTCATCAACGAAACGCGACAAACTCAGAGAAACGAAACGTAATAACAAAGCGAATGGAAGTGTTAAGAGTAGGCTTTTTTTAAAATTTGCTGGAAAAGTATTTGATGTTGGCAGTGAAATGCGATTCTGATTTGAGTGCATCAAAAAGTATTCTGTTTTGTTTTGTTATTTCATGAAGG